AAAAAAAAAAAAAGAGTGAAGCAGCCAGCTGGTCTGAAGAGGGGTAACACATGCAAAAACTCCCAAATTTGCAGCTAGTAACCATTTGACCTAGCTTGGATGGCTTGCCAACCAGAATTCAACCAGATGAAGATAAAGAAGTATGATACAGGAAGCAAGCATAAATTGTTACGTGATCAACTGGCCCTTTGTTTATGGATGAAGCTGCCCAAAATTCCAACCAAGTAGGGAAGGATTCTTCATACCAAGGATCAAACATGCCTCCTCAGTACACAGAGTATTTGATAGGGACGGGCAACTTATGACTTCAGCTATAAAAACTGGGGAGCTATATAGGCACAAAATGGCTGGCTTACAAGCTTTCATGAGGGTGTTCAAATGAGGGGAATAAGACAGAAACTACTGAATAATTTTCCTCTTGTCCAAATGGGTCTGGTGATGAAGAGTAATTGTTATCAGTATTAAACTGCGATTGTCACAACTATAAATGTAGAAGAGGTGTAACAAAAAGGGGGGAGTAGTTAATCTGCCATTTCAGGAACAGAGGACCCTAGGACCACCAAAAAGAGCATGAGAGGAGCAAGGGATCCTAACCAGAAGAGCGACGACAACAGAGATGGTGGCAGGGGCAATGGCAGAGAGAGAGATAGAGCAGCAGAGGACTCTAGGCCCATGGACTGAGAAAGGCAATGTGCCTGCAGGCAGGAGGCTGGCTTGAAAAATGTACCTTGTGAACATTTAAATGAATATGTATTTTCAATGTGGTATGTGTACATCAAAAAAAAGGTAATAGAGGTAAAAATAGAGGAAATACTGTTGGCTGAGGGTGCATGGAGGGGACTGTAATCATTACAATGATTTGCTGAATGTAAAACTGGTGATCTGCCCTGTTAGCCTTCACTCACTCAATACACAAGAAAAGCTTAGGGGGGAAAAAAAAATGAGTTCAGCTGCCGGACACCACCATTCTGCACAGAGTGCACAAAGTTCAAATCAAATAACCAATATATATGAAGTTACTAATAATTCCCCTCCAGGGCTTATACATCCTGTTGTTGTTGTTAAGTGCTGTCGAGTCGGTTCTGACCCATAGCGACCCTGTACAGGGTTTCCAGGGCTGTAAATCTTTACGGGAGCAGAACACCATATCTTTCTCCCACGGAGCAGCTGATAGTTTCGAACTGCTGGCCTTAAGGTTCGCAGCCCAATTCGTAACCACTACACTACCAGAGCTCCTTGAAACAAGTCCATTGCCTGCACCCAACAGAACTCTGAAAAGATGGAAATGTTCTCTTCTACGCACATACAACTCAGCAGCTACCACCAATGTGTGGCTATTAAGCACTTGAAACGTAATCAGTCCAATCAAGAGCTAAACTTTTCATTTTATTTAAACTTTTAACAGTCACATGTGGCTAGTGGCTACTATACTGGCAGCCTGGTAGACCATTTAGGATGAAAGGAGGGTAACAAAATTAAAATAGGAGTCATGCTGGTTTAAAGCTTTTCCTTATAGGTACAGTGCAGACTCACTATAAGGATGATAGAAAACGGATTGCTCCGACCACAGGTCTGCAGGTTTCCTCCAATATGAAGGACCAGATAAAATGCTGAAGGTGATTCCACCACATCATTTGCAGTATCTTTAACTGTGTAAACAGGTGGATAGCTTCCCTTCAATCAGAAGGCAGCATGAGAGCCAGGCAGGAGATCCATGTTCAGCTGCTATCTTTCAGAGCCAAGGGCATGTCAGTCTCCGAAGTTGGTCTTGGACTGTTCTGGGCAGAACCTCACTGCCGCAGAGCATGGGAATCAGGAATGACATTCACTTTGTTGTTCTTCAAGGAGATGTCAGCAGCGAGGGGAGGTAGAAACAGCTGGCTCCTCCCATGCAGTGAGCTCACTGCCAGGTGCTGAGGACGCATCACTCGATTTCAGCTTCTTGGTATGCCCGTTGGGCCCTGGCTGCAGGCTCTTGCGTCGCTGCCTCTTCTCCAGCTGCTGCTGCAGTCTCTCCTCCTTTTTCTTCAGATAGGTCGTCATGTTGTCAAAGGTGGTCTTGTAGAGACTGCTGAAGCTGTCGCCCACACCAGTGGAGCCTGGGACAGAGACAGACCAGAGGACAAGTGGGCCAAGGGACAAGACACTGCCTGTTCAGGTGTAGCTCTAATTTCCCAATGAGAACTCATGCGTAACAACGCCTTCCTCCTTGGCACCCCACAGTCGTCAACCTGACTGTTGACAAGGGGTTAAATGTGTGTCCCAATCTAAACCAGGAGCCATGGAGTCAACCCAGCTCACAGTGCCCCTATGTGTGTCAGAGCAGAACTGTGTTGCACACTAACTGTTTACACCACCCAGGACTCCTTTCCCAATGCCTTCATTCTTACTCACTAAAGGGGACCCCACTGTCTACAGTAGTCTGTAATCCACATTTGCAGAGACAATTTTAGGGCAATGTCCTCACCTTCCAGCATGGCCCAATTCCCGCGGAGGTGAGCAGAGACTTTATTTAACAGATCATTTTCAGAAACAGGCTGAAGAACACAAAAATGGAAAACCGTATCAGAAGAAGGCAGGATTTGACTGACTCTGTCCAACACACATGACAGAAACCCTGCCGCAGCGAAGATCTGCTGCTCATCAGTCCGCTCGATCAGATCTAGGAAGGAGGCAGGACCCTCGGCCCACCAGTGACTGCTGAGCATCAAGCATGTTTTCCTTTCCAGGAAGGAGGCTCATCGTGCAAAATCTCTGACCTAAGGTCTCAAAGGCTGAGAAACCTGGATGACTGTGCTTGCCACTGCTTGTCAGGAAGAAGCACCAGGAAGGTGAGAATACCATCAGCAAAGAACTTGGTCCAATGGGCATGTTCCAGGGTCCCAAGGACTTGACTCTAAGCTGCCACACAGAACTAAACCCCACCACGTTCAGCCTGTTTACAAGAGTGTGTGATGAGACACTCACAGTGAAATTCACCAATGGAGACCATTTGAATACTAGGAGGACAAGTCTATTTCCAGGCATCAGCCTGTGCAGACCCTGGTCACACACTCCCCACTGGGACCAAGAAGTGACAGTGCTATAACATCCCAGTGCAAAGCCAATAGCAGAGTCCCCCACACCAACTCTACCCCATGGTTTAACGCAACTGAACATTCAAGTGGGGTGCACCTCACCTGCCACTGGCCCTGCATGGGCTGGCAGAGCACCAGTGGGACTTCCCGACTGTCCTGCAGAACCCACAGGCCCTGTGTCTCCTCATAGGCCACGTCCCATACTCGGTGCTGAAATGACAGCTGCTGCTTGTAAACCAGCTGCTGCCGGGGGACGTCCAGCTGGAAGATGTAGACCACAGGGATACTGGGAATGGAGGAGAGAGAAAGTATTGGCACCACCACCAAGCCAGGTAGCCTTCAGCTGTCCTGGATGCATCTCAGCACCCCCGGCCCCCATGTCTGCTCTGGAGAAGTAGGTCTCATGGTACCCATGGAACCTGCTGGAAATGCACATGTCCAGACCCACTGAATCAGAAACCCCCAGGAGGGACCCACATGTGCTTCACTGAATCCTCTGCGTGCTTTGGGAGCACACTCAAGTTTGAGAATCACTGTTCTACAACAGGGGTCAGCAAGCTTTCGCTGTATCTTAGGCTTTGTGGGCCACACAGTCTCTAGCATATCTACTCTGCTAATGCACAAAAGCAGCCTCAAACAATATGGATACCAACAGGTATGTGTGCATGCCAGTGAAACTTTATGGACTGAGAAATTTTTCCCAGCATATAATTTTCATGTGTTAGGGAACATTCTTTTGATTTCTTTACAATCACTTAAGAATATAAAACATATTTATCTCTAGGGCTGTACAAAACAGGCAGCAAACTAAGTCTGCTGACCACTATTGTAAACAGTAAGGGAAGGAATTTATGCAAATAACCACCCAGGTAGTACCACTGCACTGTAGTTGTTATGTGCTGTGGAGTTGTCATTGTTAGATGCCACCAAATTAGTTCTGTGGTGCCTACATACAAAAGAATGAAATGCTAACCAGTCCTGTTCCACCCTCACAAGTGTCGCTATTTCAGCCCATTACTGCAGTCACTACACACCCCCAATAGGTACAGTACACACACACAAACCTAACCTGAATCCCAAGCAACTGGGACTTTTCCTCCTGTCAGAGACCAAGGGTGACAGGAGCCAAAGGCTTTTGGGGGTCTACCAATTGGGAAGGGCTACTGGAGTCCTGGTGTGGCACTGTAAGATAAGCACTGGGACTGTTAACCACGGGTCAGCAATTCAAACCCACCAGCCACTTCGTAAACCCTATACAGAGTCTTTATGAGTGGGAACTGAGTTGACAGTACTTAACAATTGTACTGCTCAGGAGTGAGGTAGGAGTGTCAGTCCAGTCAGTTATGAAAGGGAATTCTGTCTAATCAACTATAATCCACTATCAAGGGGGACGATTCTATCCAGTGCTCTGGGGGAGGAGGGTCAGTTCTGTCCAATAGGCTTAGGGAGGAAGGCGATATGCAATCAGTTCTCGAGGAAGGGGGAATGTGTCAAATCAGCTATTGGGGAAGTGAGGGGATTCTATCTTACTAGCTGGGGAGGAGGGCTCAGGAAGGATAGTATGTTGCACAAAAAAACATCAGTAAGTGACCACTGGCACCCTTAAAGCTAGAAAATTGAAATATCAAGTAAGAAAGTTCCCTTAAAGAAAGAAATCCATACCCCTCACACAATATTATTACCAGAAGGTGAAATCCACGAACAATGTCTAAACTGTCCTCATCTAGAAGATGTGGTCTGTGGGACCAGGGCTATAATTCACCCTCCCTCCCTCCATAGGTACGTGGGTTAGAGCCACACAGGGCTGCCAGGTGCTTACCTGTCACACAGCAGGGCAATGCAGCTATCCTGGCGGCAGTACGTGATACGGGATGCAGCGAACCTCTGCAAGGGAGACGGGGGGATTAGCTGACACCACCACCCAGGAGTTCACCTGGACAGCAGTGTCCACCCTGAGAGCAACCCACAGGACCACAACCACCCTCACATGTCAACTAGGAAGGGAAGAGAAGGAAATCCCGGCCTCTGAAAAACCGTGCACTACTCATTTCACAAGCAATTCTGCCTCAGAAGCGTCATGTAGCTCTGGTCCTATCCCTGGAGCCTAGGGAACATCTCTGAAACCGAACTGGCCAAAAGCAGTTTGAAGAGAGAACAGAGAATTCAAGAGGAAAAAGAGGATTATTAATTACACTAGACACAAGAACTTAAAGTGCCTCCACACCTCCTGGCAGAGGAAATGTTTGGATGTGAAGAAAACTGTCACTACTCAGGCCACAGAAGTCGGGAGGAACAGGCTGGTATTCGCTGCAGCCTACCAAAAGGAAGCCGGGGGTGTACTCTCAGAGCAGCCTCAGGGTAAGTGGTGGGGGAACCCAGAGGTGGGGGTCACAGCGGCCCATCCTGTGTCAGACAATGTCATCACAGTCATTTGCAAAGCCCTCTTCCCGTTGTAGAAATGAGAACACCACCAGCTTGGCTCTCCCAGGTGACTGTGAGGAGTACTTAGCCCTGCTACCTTCCCAGTGCCCTGTCAGGATGGCTGCCAGAATGATCTAAGGGCCAGAGGAGTGTGGGCATCCTGCAGAAGATGAGGCAAACATACCCTAAAATCAGAGTTCATCCCTAAATACTACTATGGACCCCCTCAGAACTGCAGTATTCCCCAGCTACCAAAGGCCAAGGTGATGTGACCCCAGGGATCACAAGACGGTTGGGCAAAACTCAGAGACAACTGCTGCCAGGAAGTTCCATGGAAAAGACACAGCCTCTAGTTTTTAAAAATTGTTGTTAAGTGCCATCAAGTCGAATCCTATTCACAGCAACCCTGAACAGGGTCGTCAAAGGGCAGCTGGTATGTTTGAACCGCCAACCTAGTGGTTTGCAGTCCAGGGCTTATCTTACACTGTGTCACAACACAGAGATCAAAATGTCGACAAAGCACAGGTCACCAAGAGGAGACCAGCAGGTCCCAGAGAATGCCAAGTTCTGCAATTCTCCTAAGGCTGAGGGCTAGCTTCACTCTACTCTAGAGGAACCCTCAGAGACGGGGCTTATAAAAACCATTGTGTCTTCCAAAGACGCTAGACACCAGGCAATCCTCACTGAAGACTATTCTGAATATGAGTACACACAAGAGGCCATAAATGTTGAAACTCCATTAGCCTCAGTACTGTCATCACAACTGAAGGCCTTGGGACACCACCCAGCCAGCTCAAAGCCTCTAGTTGTGCCGTGAGGAGCAATGCATCCCGGTGATGCTGTGAGCACCTCCAGGGCCTCCATGAGGGGTCACAGGCCACAAAGAGGAGGCAGAAATGGACCTCCCCCAGAGCAGGGTCAGGAAGGACAAGCTGTTAGAGAGTGGTACCCCAAGTCTGAGTCAGCAAAATGCCAGCAATCCCTCCAATACTGTCTGGAGAAGAACAGCACAGTGCAGGGAGCTACCGGGGCAGACCTGCCTCTGGCTAAGGTTCCTGTGAGGGGGGTGGGGGTGGGGAAGGCATCACACACAGCACCAGAGTCCAAGGTCAGCTGATGAGAACAGACCAGGGCCCAAGCCACAAAGCACGGCCTGGGTCAGGGGAGCAAGGGGATGCAGAGTGGACTACATGGCCACAGGAGGCCGGCATTGTGGGCAGCCAGGAAGGACAAGGCAGGAAAAAAGCTATACAGAGTACAGCTGAGAGCACCCCACCCAAGAAATGAGGGCCACGGGACATCGGACCTGAAGGCAACACAGGTCAAATTGGAGGCTGGGAACCTGGGTAAGGAATCCCTTATCCCCACCAAGTTCACATTCTACCATGCCACCTGCCGACCAGAACATAGCTGGCCTCCAAGTTGTTGTTAGGTGCCATCGAGTCAGTTCTAACTCAGAGCTACCCTATGCACAACAGAACAAAACACTGCCCCATCCTGTACCATCCTCACAACCATTGTTACATTTGAGCCCATTGCTGCTGTCACTGTGTCAATCCATCTCTCTGGGGTCTTCCTCTTTTTCACTGACCCTCCACTCTACCAAGCATGATGTTCTTCTCCATGGACTGGTCCCTCCTGATAACATGTCCAAAGCATGAGAGATGAAGTCTCACTATCCTGGCTTCTAAGGAGCTTTCTGGCTATACTTCTTCTAACACAGATTTGTTTTTACTTCTGGCATTCTATGGTACTATTAATATTCATCTCCAACACCATAACTCAAATGCATTAATTTTTTTATGGTCTTCCATATTCACTGTCCAACTTTCACATGCATATGTTGTTAAGTGTTGTTAAGTGCCATCGCATCGGTTCCAATCCACAGCAACCATATATAGGGTTTCCAAAGAGTGGCTGTTAAGTTTAAACCACCAACCTTGTGGTTTAACTAAACTTGTGGTTCAGTACTTTATCCCACAGCGCCACTCCAGGACTCCCACATGCATATGATGCGACTGAAAATACCATGGCTTGGGCTAGGTGGCACATTTGTCCTCAAATTGACATCTTGGCTCTTAAACACTTTAAATAGGTCCTGAGCAGCAGATTTGCCTAATGCAATAAGTTGCTTGATTTCTTAACTGCTGTTTCCTTAAGAGATGGTGGATCCAAGCAAAATGATGTCTTTGACAACTTCAAACTTTTCTCCATTTATCATGACGCTATCTGTTGGACTTCTAGTGTGGCACTGTAGGATCAGCACTGGGTTGTGAACCACAAGGTTAGCAGTTCAAAGCTAACATCTACTCCTTGAAAATCCTATAAAAGGTCACTATGAGTCGCAACTGACTCAATGGCACTTAACAATTATTGGTCCAGTGGTGACAATTTTTGTTTTCTTTGCATTGAGGTGCAATCCATACTGAAGGCTGTGGTCTTTGATCTTCATCAGTAAATATTTTAAGTCCTCTTCACTTTCAGCAAGCCATGTTGTGTGATCTGCGTATCACAGGTTGTTCATTAGTCTTCCTGCAACCCTGATGCCAGTCTTCTCCCTCTTACAGACTTTATAAGCACCCATGGCCAGTCACTGGAGGGAGGGGAGAGGGGCAGGAGATGAGCAGCCCAGAGAATGCTCAGGGCACTGATATTCACCTAACCCAGACAGCACCCCATGAGACTGCAGGCTCAGGTACCAGTGTACTCCTGTACTCCATTTCCAGGCAAGAGAGCGAGGCCTTCCTATAAATGATTTGTCTGAACCAAGGCACACAAGGTGACACTTACACGGGATTCCTACTGACAGGACAGGAGACTTCAGCATCTGAAATACACAGTTCCTATGACATTGGAAAAAGTCTGACATTGGCACCAAAGAAGTGTTTCCAATGTAGAAACTACTGTTTTCACAGAGCATGCCAGCAAGTCCACGTGAGCCACATGACACTTACCTTCTCATCCTGGGGTGCATCTGGCTCTTGCAGGTTGGTCACGAGACAGCAGTGCAGCTCCCGCCCACTCTGGTACTCCCAGAGCCGTAAAGTGCCATCCTGCACACCAAGCACACGGTTACCCCAGGAAACACGCAGAGACACCAGGTGTTCACAGGCTGGCTATGGTCTGTGCCAATACTGAGGCGTGAGAGCGGGCACGACCTCCAAGAGGCTCCTTGGTTGTCTCACTGAGTCGGAGCTCACACAAAGCCTCACAAAAAGCAAGGAAGACCTCACAGCAGAATGGGCCATGGGCACGAAACAACCAGACTTTCTTATTCTCAGAAGTCTGGTGGGCTCCCCTGGGCATGTACTCACTCAAATATACACTCACACACACACGCTCTCTCTCTCTCTCTCTCTCTCACTCTCTCCTGGCTCCCCTGGGCATGTACTCACTCAAATATACACTCACACACACACACACACAC